CCTCCGCAACACGATCCCCAGCCCTGCAAACTGACTGGCTGAGGGCCGGCATGACAACGAGAAAGGCCTCGCCACTTCTTAAGGTCCCGTCGTGGCGAGCCTCGGCAACTGGAGGCTCAGCCAAACATCCAACACTATCAAGGCGATTCTCAAAAGGAGGCTCAGCCGTGCAAACATGATGCGCATGGTTCCCAAGCGACTGGGATGCTCCTAGATCAGCGACGCCGACGTTGTGACGAACATACCCAACCTCGGTAGAAAATGAAAGGGGTGCCTCAACCGAAGGAGGCAAGCCCTGAATCACTTCCACCATGGGTGTGTCACGGCACGTTGAGGTCGCAGCTGTAGTAACATCCTCGAGAGTCTGAGACGATTCAAAGAGGCGAGCCTTATACGAGGAAAGCTCAGCCCCAAAAGGAAAAGGTGGACACGCTGAGCGAGCCTCTCCACCAGGCTTAGCCAAAACCACATGATCCACCAAAACTGCATTATCTTGGCTTTCGCCAGATGTGGTGTCAGCCACGCCATATGGAGAAATTGCCAGGGCAAGGCCATTTGCGTTCTGTTTGGCCCGTCGCCTACGCCGCGAGCGATCTCCGATGAAGTATTTCTGCACCTTCATCTCCTCTGCCTCGGCGGCGTGCGCGCCAGCCTGGCGCGCGTCGGCGGGGGCGGCACGTTCGCCATCCGCGGCCTTGCCTTCGGAAGTGGCGGTGGCGGCGTCGGCGGGCGCTGTGAAGCCACACCCAGGGCCGACACTGCTGCAGGAGGGGGCTGAGGCCACTCCTTCAGCCCCATTGAGCTCCCAAAGGCTTTCGCGCGGCCCTTGTGGTCTCGATCGTGCTGAAGTCCTCATCGTCAGAATCAAAACCCAACCGATTGCTGCGCCATCAGGTGCGTTTCTTCTGCGAAAAGGCCACGCGCCCGCGTGAGAAATCAGCGCCCGATTGCGATGCGAAGGAGTAATACGTGTTGAGATACATGCTTCCCCAAATGGACATAAAACATGAACGGCATCTTCCAAACAATCGCATTCCCATGAGACAAATACCATAATCAAGGCACCTCGCCTGCGAGAGATACGTTACGCATCGTACTCTCAAGGGAGCTGCGCGCCCCACGCCCATCAACATGTTGCACTTCGTGTCTAAGCCCACAGTCTGCGCAAGACGGAAAGGTGAACTATCATCTCAACAAGAAAACATGGGATATGCCATGGTGGAGCTGCTTTCCTTCTGCCGCGAAAAAGCGACCGATGAATTTCAGCTTGTCTCGTGTCCCATCCAACCCGCGTTGTGGCCATGGCCCCATAACGAGTTGATGTTTAATGCAAACTGGCCCATAAAGATAAACACCAACGTCCTGTCCCAACTAAGAGCGATATCTGCTCCATTCTGCCCTCACCAAGTGAAGACTGAAAACGTTTTCATTCCGCTTCCATTCCGCTTCGCCTTCAATATGATTACATTCCGCCTTCAACACGGCCCCAAATGACCCAAATCGCCCCGTTCCCGTCGGAAGAAGCAATTTTCCCGACGGGCACGGGCGAGTGCAGGCACCAAAGCGCACACGAGGCCATCGAGATCGCCCCAACACGGCCCAAGAGGACCCCAAGAGGGCCCCATGACGGTCCAAACCAGCCCTAAGACGGCCTCCGATGCGGACAAAATCGCCCCCCCCAAAGCGATACAACGAACCGGTATTGCTTCCCCAAGAGGGTCCAAGAGGCCACCAAGTCAGTCCACGCTGTCTCCAAGACGGCCCAAGATCAAAGATGACCCCGAGACGGCCCAAAATTGTTTCGAGACGGCTCGAGAGGCCCCCAAGCCGGCCCAAAAGGCCTCCAAGAGGCCCTCCAGGAGGGCCCGAGGAGGCCCAAAACACATAATGCCAATTGGTGTTTGAAAAATTGTGGCTCTCTCGCCTTTCTCGGAATCTGACCGCACACTACGGCCCAGGATGCCTTCGATGTCGGCCCAAGGCAGCCCAAGAGGCCTCCAAGAAAGCCCCAGAACGGCCCAAGAGTACCCCGCGGTGGCCCAAGTCAGCCTTACGAAGGTCTCCGATCTCTAGAAGCCTCTGGGGGTCCGCGAAGGCCACTGGAAAAATTCGCCTGACACTTGGACCTCAACAGACTCCAAGAGGCCTAAACTGTCTGGGAGAGGTAATGCACATTTGTTCATCGGGTCGGTTGCAGGCCCCAAGACCGTCAAAACCAGACCAGGGATGAACAAGTACGCCCAGGGAAGCCTCCAGGACGAACTGTCGACACGACCTGCACAAGTTGCCCCCCCCGAAGACGGCACCCCAAACCGCCAGCAGGGCGCCAAGAGGCTTCCAAGAGGCCCCCAGCAGTGCCCGACGGGCCCCTCAATTCCCCCCCCCCCAAAAAAAAAAAAACACCGAGCGGCCTCCATAGAGGCTCCAAGACCGACAAAATACTTCCGAAAGGCCTCCCATGAGACACCAACACACAAACATATTATCAAGGAGCCCTCCAGCCTACGATCACATGCGCGGCGGCAGGTTTGACCAAGTGCCACTCTACAGACACTTCACACATACACGTCGTTCATTTCTAAACGTGCTCATTTCTAGTTGTGCTCGTTTCAAATTGTTCCTGGCCCCCTAGTGGCCAGGAAGAGGCCCATGATAGAACAATTAGAAATGAAAGGATCTTGGCCTCCCCTAAGATCAAAGAACAACTTTCAAATATTTACAAATGAACCATGTGTACTTCTGACAGGCCCCCACTGAGACACCAAACATACTATCAAGGAGGCCTCCAGCCTACGACCACATGCGCGGCGGCAGGTTTGACCGAATGCCACTTTTCTAAACGTGCTCATTTCTGGTTGTGCTCGTTTCTCATTGTTCCTGACCCCCTAGTGGCCAGGAAGAGGCCCAGGATAGAACAATCGGAAATGAAAGGATATTGGCCCCAACAATCAAAGAACCTTCGAACTATTAGACAGGAGCAATGTGTACATGCACATGGGCGCCTCCATGTATACGTTCTGCGGGGGTCGCGAGATGGTTTGTCGGCATGGGGCGAGCCTCGAGCAGCAGCTTTTGACTAGCATGGCCCGTGCATCCGACACTGGGGCATCGGCGGCTCGCGATGCGAGCTCCTCGGGCGCGGCTAGAACCCAGGCGCGCGCGTACCACGCGCGTGGTCCTCGTGCACGTATACCCGGGGGCCGGGCCCGGGGGCCCGGGGGCCACCCATACGGTGGAGGCGTTTGTTAAGGAATAGTCCCAGGAGGCGCCAGACCCTGGAGGATTCCTTGTTCAATGAGGGCAGCGGTGATATCTATGGCCGATCCACGATTGGAGTTCCACTGGCTTCCAGACACTGGATTCCGTATCTACAGGTCCATTATCCAATGCTCACACCGTACCACTGGCCATCGCTCGGACGTCCATTTCCTGTGTTTTGTTTCGGTTTCGTGCGTGGTTGTTTCGCCAAATAATCAAGGATGCTCCTCGATAGTCCTCGCCGAAAACAAATGCACGCGTCCGAGCGATGCCAGGACCACAAATGGGGGGACCGGGTTGCCCAGGGCGGCCTCGAAACGCACCAACGGCGGCCTAGAGGCCCCGAAGATGGCCCAGAAGGCTTTCAAGACAGCCCAAGACGGCTTAGTTGTGCGCCAAGCTGTCCTCGGAGGTGCCTACGACGGCCCACGATTGCCCGAAGATGGTCCACGATGGTCCCACGATGGCTCAAGAGGCCCCCAGGACGGCCGAAAAGGCCTCCAAGAGGCTCTTCAGGAGGACCCGACGGAGACAAAAGCATGCATGTTCCATTTGTTGTTGGAAGGATTTTGGCGTTCTCCCCTTTTTCGGCTTCCGACCGCCCACGGCGGCCCAAGAGGCTTCCAACATTGCCCCAAAACGGCCCAGGTGGTCAACAAGAGGATCCCAAGACGGCCCAAGAGGACCAGAGGATGTCCAAGATGGACTCAAGACGGCCCAAGAGAGACGGTCAAACATGGCTCCAAGCTGGTCCTCGCCGATTGAAGTTGGTATCCAAGGCGGCCCAAGAGGTTCCGAGAGGCCTGAAGGTTCGCCGGCTCTGCCTCCAAGATGGCTCACGATGGCCCGAAGACGGGCCCAACATAGCTTCACGACGGTACACAAGGCCCAGGCCCCCAAGAGACCTTCCAGGAGAGCCCAGTGAGGACAACATCATCGGTGTCCATTTGTTGTTTAAAAATGTCGCCGTGCCTGGCTGCCGACCGCCCAAGACGGCCCAAGAGATCTTGAGATCGCCCGAAGAGAGCCTAAAAGGACCCAAGGAGGGCTTCAACAAGGGCCCACTGAGGGGGCCGGAGCAGAATACAGAAAACCAGCCATGCAATCCACAAACACTCTAACACGCCACTGCCGTTCAACCACGACGATGGATTCCTTAATTTATGTGTCGGCGCGTTGTAGCAGTGCTCCTTCGTCGGTTCCGTACGATTTGAAAAAAATGGAGAAGCTAAGGGAGCCAAAAATAGGGGGCCCACACTGACCCAACATGGCCCCCAGATGGCCCTCGACAGCCCCCAGTGGTCCCTTATGACGTCTACAGGACGCTTTCTAAAAGTTCACTACGACATAAGAGGGCCCAAGTAATGCTAAAGCTGCAATGCCTTGTTTTTGCGCATGCATTCGTGCGGTGCTGCTTGGTCTGCGCTAGAGCCGCGCGCGCGGTTCGAATGTAGGTCCGAATAGATACACCTATATATATGTATATATATAACCATATATATATACATGCACACGATCACACTTCATAGATGCCCCTCTGACATCTCAATGTCATCCTCTGTCTCATCCGTCTCCTCTTCCTCCTCCTCCTCCTCCCACGAGAGAGAGAGAGAGAGAGAAATAGAGAGAGAGAGAGAGAGAAGGGCAGCGACTTTGGAATAAGAAGCCTCCTATCTGATACAAATGAGATCCTCATCTCGGCGCTCTGGCTGCGAGAGCTAATTCCCTGCCCCAGCCGCCGCCTCACGTATGGCGATGATTCGCGCGATCGCCTGGTCACTCGCCGTCAACCAGCGGACCTCGTGATCCTCCCAGAAGATGGGGTGGTGGCTGAGGTCGACCCTCGCCATGGAAGGATAATACAAATAATAAAAAAAGAGAGGGAGAAGGAAAAAAGGAGGGGTGATATAAACATCAGACAACACGACACACAAGCACAAGCATAAAGAATGTGGAAAAGCTCCGATTCGTCTTCAGGACATTCAGACCAAGGCCGATGTCAGGAAAGAGGGGTGCGAGAGAAGGGAGGAAAGATGAGGCAGCGGATCTCATGATCTTCCCAAGAGATGGGGCGACGATTGGGCTGAAAATCTAATACGGGCAATGGCAGTATTGAGGCTGGTACATCGCAAGGAATCAAATGCAGGGCACTGAGAATACACGACCCCGCCGAAGCCTCCCCGACATCCTGCTAGTCTTCCCTCTTCTCCTCCTCCTCCTCCTCCTCCTCCTCCTCCTCCTCCTCCTCCCCCTCCTCCTCCTTCTTATCCATGTCTCGTCGTACTACTCGACCTCTTGTCCCCCTCTCCTCATTCATTAAGCTACCACTGCTGCACCTCCTGCATTTCCTCCTTCTCCTCCCCTCGGGGAACGCCGGCTGACCACACCACCATTCCTGCCTAGGCCAAGCCAGGAGGCCGTCTACACCGACGATGGGCTCAAGATGGGCCTAGCCAGGATCGGTGAGGTGGTCAGCTGAGGTTCACCGGTCCTTCCACGCTCTCCCACAGGCAGCCAGCGCGGGCGGACCTCCAGAGGAAGTCGACGTAGGGCTTGTGGCTGGACGCCTCCCGACGGTACGCGGCGGGCGTCCAGTGTCGCGCGCTTACCGCGTGCTTTCCACGCCCTCCCTTCCCCGTGCGTCCGTCGTTCGGGGCGACGAGCTGCTGCGCCCGCCTGACCCGACGAGCCACTGCGTCCTGCCCGTAACCTACGCGACGACGCGAAGGACTACAAGGTGAGAGCCAGGGAGAATCCTCCCTCTCCGCCTCCTCCGCATCATCATCCTTCTATTCCGTGTCATTATCCTCCTCCCCGTCTTCCTCCTCCTTCTCCTCCCCCTCCTCCTCCTCCTCCTCCTTATCACTCTCCTCCTCTCCTCCTCCTCCTCCTCCTCCTCCTCCTCCTCCTCCTCCTCCTCCTCCATCCCCCTGTCCTCCTCCGCATCCTCCTTATCCTCCTCCTCCCCCTCCTCCACCCTGCTCCTCTCCACTTCACTCCTCTCCTTCATACATCATGCCCCTTTTCGCGCGCACGCGAATTTCTGTCGGGCTGATAACCACAATCGCGCATGCACAGCTGCGGTTAAACCAAATCTAGGAAGCACGCCATACAACGTGTCTGCTGAGACAACCGACAAGTTGGAACGCGCTGGACTTTGCACCCTCACCCTGCCTGTAGCCTCTATTCCCACACCCAGTTCATCCTGCGCCGCCTCCTCGTCCACCTCCTCCCTCCTCCTCCTCCTCCTCCTCCTCCTCCCCCTCCACCTCCTCTCCACCTCCTCCTCCTCCTCCTCCACCTCCTCCTCCTCCTCCTCCTCCCCTCGTCCTCCTCCTCCTCCTCCTCCTCCTCCTCCTCCTCCTCCTCCTCCTCCTCCTCCCCCTCCCCCTCCTCCTCCTCCTCCTCTTCTCCTCCTCCTCCTGCTCCTCCTCCTCCTCCTCTGCTCCTCCTCCTCCTCCTCCTCCTGCTCCTCCTCATCCTGCTCCTCCCCCTCCACCCTCTCCTCCTCCTCCTTCCCCTCTCCCCCTCCCGCCTCCCCCTGCACCTCCCCATCTCCCTCCTCATCTCTTTTCTCTTCCCTCTCCCCCTCCCCCCCTATCTCCCTCATCCTCCGCCTCCTCCTCCTCCGCCTCCTCCGCCTCCGCTTCCTCCGCCTCCTCCGCCTCCTCCGCCTCCTCCTCCTCGGACGTACCTGGGGGATGACTGGGTCAGCTCCATCACACTTGCGGGGCGCCTACCGCCACAGCTGGTACCTCACAGAGGAGGCAAGAGCGCGGGCACGGCATTCAGGAAGATGGTCAATTTCGGCCCTGTGAGCGTTGATGATGTTGAAGAGGAGGGTAGCAGCGGCAGGCAGCAGGAGGCTCTCGGCCGAGGGGGAGGAGAGACCAAGTCGCTCGATGGGGCATCCTGGGAGCACTCTCTTCTGGAGGACCAGCGCTAAAATGGCCAGGAACCGAGGGCAAGACCAATAGTGTGGCAAACTGTCAGAGCTGGATGATATTCCACATGGCACACAGCCTAGAACACAGAGGGCAGGCTTCTGAAAGCGAGCCTCCGTCGTCCATCCGTTGACGAGGAGTTTCAAAATCGCATTCGACTGAACTGGTGGAAGCTTCAAGAGACAGTGCTGGGTTTCGGACCAGGGCCAACCGGCGAGGGTCTCCAGGGATATCGGGAGCCAGGCATTTAATCGCTTGCAGAAAATACCGACCAATGGGTCGGGAAACCGAACTTCTAGGAGTGTCAGGGCGAGCTTTCCCTGGATCTTCGCACGGCGATTCGGGGGAGGAGGAGGGAGCGAGGTGACGGCAGAGGTGGCAGCAGCAGCGAGGAGCTCACGAGCGGGGTGGGAGGAGGTGACTAGATCTTGCCCAATGTTGGCAGGAAAGCAAGCTGAGGCGGAAGACAGGAATTCCGCGAATGATGGCTGGCACCAGAACGAGGGAGACAGAGAGCCAGCAGCACGGGTGGGGAGAGGCAGACATCGGTCCGCGGTTTCACGGAGAGAGGCAAGGACGGTTGGCCAGCTCTGGAGTGTGGTGGCACTGGATCTCAGGAGAGTGGCCGATGACAGTATGAGAGCGCTTGGGAACTTCGGCCCTCCCCACCTCCAGAGGTTGAAAAAACCAGCGCGAGAGATCACACAGTGCGGCGAGCGCCACAGGCGGGCAAGAAGCGCGGCCTCACCTGAGAGAATCTCCGCTGGGAGCGGCATGAACTGGGCGACGTACGTCAGGACACTGGTGACCCTTGTCGAGTAGAGCTGAGCCGTCACACGATGTGGCCCTTGTTGCTGTGCAAGGATCAAGCCACGGTCTCTCCATTTCTGGATTGGTGCGCGCCAACTATGAAGATGCACTGCGGGTCCGAGATAAAGACCAAGATATAGAAGTTCTGGAACAATCTTGAAAGAGGACCATGTCGGGATATGGTCGGCGATCCATTGTGCGTATCGGTCGTGAGTCACATCTGAGAATGAGCCGCATAACGGAACAATCTTGCACTTTGTCGGCTTGAGCACAAGGGCAGCCACACGAGCGGCAACCCGAAAGATACGGACAAAGATCTTGAGCACCCTGATGGTCCTGATGGCAGCACCGACGTCGTCGGCGCAAGCACGAACCAGCCCGAGGGCACGACGATTGATACTCCAGTCGAAATCAAGCATGAACGGGTCCGCGGCCACTGCGAACAAGAAGCCCGAGCCAGGGCAACCTTGCACTATGCCGCTCTGGATGTAGTAGAGCCGCGCAGCGTTTCCATAGACAGAGTTGTTGATAGACGAGGAACACGCATTGGCCGACCAGCATTGGACGCAGCGATACAGCTCGGCGAAGAACCAACATAGCGCCTCGGGCAAGCCCGCGCGACGGAGAACCAAGAAGAGCCATTGATGGGCCACACTTGGGAAGGCCTGCTGAAAATCGAAACTGACGAGCAGAGACATGGCTACGGAGACGTCGTCCTGCTGGGAGTATTCCCTCGAGGCCCCATCGAGCTCCACAATGTTGTTCCCAAAGTTCCTGGACGGCACGAACCCCCTCTGAATTTTGCACACCACCTCTGGGAGAGCACGAGATAGCCGGCGTACGATCGTCCCCGTGATGATTTTGACGTCCGTGTTTTTGAGGCCAAGGGGGCGCAAGTTGCTGGGGGCCCGCACGCAGCCTCTGAGAGTGTCCTCGGTCTCGGAGCCTTTGGGGATGAAGACGCCTATCATGTCGTTGAAACCTACCATCATAGCATTTCCACCCAGAATCCACCACATGACCGACAGTAGGACCGATGAGGAGAAAGAGGATCGTTGGTACGCGGCGTATGGGAGACCGTCGGGGCCAGGGGCTGAGTGAGACAGCCTCTGTATGTAAGACTCCATCTGGGGCTTCGTGGGCGGGGCGATGTTAGCGAAATCGAACTTGGGGCAGAATCTATTCAAATACATGTCGGCGGCAGCCTCGTCGATATTTTTGTGTTGGAAGACGGGGCCCCAGTGCGTGGCAATCTCGTGGTGCATTTCCTCGGATGACGAGACAATCGGGCCATTTTGAGATCGAATTCCAGTAAGCTCCGTGCGCCGTCCGAATGGCGCCCATATCTTGGCTCGCTGTATGAGCCTCCGAAGCCGCTTCCTGAGCTTCGCACGGGCGTGAGCGGGAGCCTGCTGGGCGTCTGCAGCAGCAAGCTCGCGACGGAGAGAGGACCGGGCGGACTCGGCTTCTGCAAATTGGAGCTCGTCCAGCAGAGTAGAAAAGCGTGCAGGGTCCACGAAACGCACACGTCCCTCCTCAGAGACCTCCAGGATTTCTCGAGCAAATGGATAGCGAAGGAGACGTTCAGCTAACCAACGATCTTGGCGCCATACAGCTCTGGATGAGGAGCGCATAACCAGCAACTTCGAAGTGGGGTTCGAGGGTTCGTCCTGGAAGAGCGCGTCCCTGGCGTACCTGGCCCCCTCCTTCAGGACGGTTTTGTACATTTCCAGGGCCAGTGGGGGTGAGAGCTCCGAGATATCAATAGCGGGCCAGGTGGCATCCACATACTTCTGGAACTGCGGGTGTTCAAACAGGTATCTGGGAATCGGCCTGTCGTCCAGGGAAGGGGGAAGTCGAGCACGCAGCGAGGCCAGGATGGGAGCGTGATCTGAGAGGCCCCGTTGTTCTAGTGATTCAGGAAGGTCCCGAACGTCCGAGGTCAGATGTAGCAGAGTAAGGATCCAGCCAGGCCAGGATATGAAGATGCGGTCGATGGCGGATGTGTGTTGGCGAGAGCCATTGTAGTGCGTATTGTCTTGCGGGTCGAGCTCGACCATCGCATTGAAAATCTGCTGCCAAGGTGAGCGGAGCAG